TGCACTTCGAGGTTCACAAAGTGCTGTACCTGTCACGAAATCTGCACATCGAGGGTCACAGAGTGCTGTGCCTGCCACGAAATCTGCAAACGAGCCAATTGTCCAAAAGTCACGATTCACTGCACCTGTCATGAAATCTGAGCTCCTCGACGATCACCGCCATGTCCAAAGTGCTGCGCCTGCCACGAAAACTGCACTTCGAAGTAAAACAGCTCCAATCCCTTGCGCCTGTCACGAAAAGCCGACTTTGAAGCACCAAAACACGAGGTTTCCCTTGCGCCTGCGACGAAAAGTTGCCACCATGTCCGAAAATGCGCACGGCACCACCGCACGGCACCACAACGAGAGCGCAGTCACCAGAAGCGCCCGCCAGACACTCAGATTCTGCGAGCCTGCGCAGTCGAAATGCACATGGACGATGTCGAGAGGCATGAATGTACTGTAAATAACAATGAATTAGCCGTTCACGCCGGCGCGCTTCAGCGATCTAAGCGTCAGCTTCCTGTCCCCTACGGTAAGAACCCCTCAGTGTGCCCACGCTGTTTGGGGAAAAATAAACACCTACTACCTGCCAAGAGGAACATGGCCATCCAAGAGGGGGCATCATCCACTTCCATGTGGGTTTGTTGTGCAGCGCATTTTAACATGTTGAGCGAGCTAGCCTCCAGCGTGGGAGAGAAGTGAAAAAAAGGGGAGGCTCACAATCAAGACCAAACGGGCATAAAGGAATGACTTTGATAGGGGTCCATACCGAAGAAGTCCTCGAAATCTTCCACGAAAGACGCAAGGCATGTACCCAATTCCATCCCACTTGAGGATATTTTGGGGGGGGTGAACATGTGTGAACTGAACGTGGCTGCGCTTCACATGGCCGTTGTTCAACACGGGATGATAGGTGGTGGATTCGAATCACCGTTCCGCCCTGGACTGGGCGTCAGCCGGACGGACACGTCAGGACCTGCGCTCCATGCTCTTGTCGATTTTGTCCACGTTGAGAGCTCTGGGATGGACCATGGTGTCACTGAGATGCAGGGAGTCATGTGGGGCACACGGGTTCCGCATTGGGCCGGGGGGGCTCCGAAATTTCGGGGCCCGGGATTTGCGCGCTTGGACAGGGAAAACAGGAAAATAGAATAATATGGATGAACATCCTTTGGACGTGTCTTGTTCTACCGGCAGGCCACTTCCGAAAAGACACATGAACATCCTTTGGAGAATGGGCGACAGCTGAGATAGATTCACTTCAGTTTGTATGGCCTAAAAATGAATGTTCATGTTATTGAGTACCCTGCCACTCAGTGTGGCCACACAAGGACCGGTGTAAAACCACTTTGCCGAGTTTTTTTTGGTGTATTTGTTCAATGAGGTTGTTGTCACGAAAGCTAGCCTTAGCTAGCTGGAGCACCAGCAGCAGCAGCACCAGCAGCAGACCACCGGAAGCCCGGCTAGCTTTCGTTCACCCCCTCTGGCCTCAAGTTCTGTTTGCAGGCTGCTGGTGATGATTATCTATGCTGCTGCAGTCTTCTTTGCCCAGCTCCTCGACAGCATGCGGCTGCAAAAAAGGGCCCAATGGGTCAGAGGAGCCACTAAGACCAGTGGGTCAGCATGTGTCTCAACCCAACAGATCCCAGGAAGAGTGGATTACCCCTACCCAAACAGAGATTTTCCGGTGGACATGTTTGAGGATATTGGTTGTACCCACCAACCAACTGGTGCCGGAGACTAGTGCATTGCCAGTTTGCCAGGGTCTGCCAAAAATAACGACTGATGGGTGCCCACAGATCGTGCATGCCGAGGGTTTCGTCTGATGCTTGCGTGCTTGCCGCACTACCTGACTACCTGTGATGAACATGGGCGAACTACGTACTTTTCACGACGACCTGTGTACCTTTTCAGAAGATCAAGTTGTGAAGGGCCACAAGTTGAAGCGGTTCTGGAAGATGGGCAGGTTCAATCCCAGCATCCAGAGACTTACGCTGCGGTGCGGAACGCCCCACTGCGGGTTGACGCCAGGTTCATCATTGACGCAGGGGCGGCCAACGTAGACATCATGGTGGATAAGCCGGAACTCCAGTACTACTACTCAGACTTGCTCCGCAACCTGGCTGTGGATCCTGGAGAAAACTGCCAGATGCCGTAGAGGATTCATGTATATTCATGCCGTAGAGTCAAGGAGGATAACCAGATTGTCATATTCCAAGTGTTTTGGGAGTTTCACCGGTTTACATGTAAATACATCACGATGTTCTTTTGAGTCTCACGTTTGGACTGAACGTGATAGTTTTTTTTTGCGCATCGCACGGAACCATTCAGCTAAGGAACCATGCTCTCACTGTACCAGTCGATGACCGGAGGTCTCAGTTGGGACGTAGCATTGAGACCACTGGAGACTGGGACATCAATTTCTGTGCAGTGCGGGCAGATGTTTTTCCATTACAATCGGTCCAGGGTAGATGGATTGGGGACCAACCGGGAAGAGACCCACATGGAACCTGAAAATGGACGTTTGGGAGACTACTTTCCTCTACAACCCAGTGGTTTTCAGGTTCCATGTTAATCTTCCAGGGCGCAGACGGCGCAGACGGTTTGAATGAGGTAAATTTCATGGCAGATGCGTGCGGATGCCGTGAGGCGAATGTACTGCTGTTTGTTAAAAATGAATCAAAGCCATTCAAAGTCTCCTATTCCCACCTGGATGGTCAAGCATCACCAGGGTTTCTGGGAACCAAAGCCTTCGATGCCTCCGGCAAGCGGCGCGTCGTTCTGTCGTTCCCTGCGCCCAGGAAGAGGCCGCTGGTGGATGGCTCGCAGTGCCCTATGCACCTTGGCGTGGTTCGGGGCGTTCCGGGTCGGAAGTGATATCAGGGTGTTTTGAGATGGCCACAATCCCCAAGTTTGGTGCTTGCTATGGACCCCCAGATATTAAACAATTGGTTTGGTGCCATCATCTACTCTTGAAACCACTGTACAATGTGGTGAAGTGTTCAAGGACTTCTAGAGGAGCTGCCCGTTGATCCCACAGTTGGACCTGCGCTGCGGTGAAGCTACGAAAAAGACGGAGAATGTACATGTAGGACAGACAATGTAGAATTTGGACGCGTTGTTTAAGGACCGTTTTCTGTTCTATCATGGTGTATGCTTATAGTTTTATTTGACTATTTGACTAGGCAGTCCGTATCCTGGCCCCTTTACTGAGCTGTTCATCCACTGGTGAACTCTTTCGGTTTGGGCTTTACAGGCCCAGTCATTCAGACAACCTTAGATGATGCAGAAGATCAGATGATTAAGGGATCACGACCAGGACCAGCTCGTGGATTGGATTCGGACCAGCTGAGGTGGCGCGCTAATAGTGAAAAACCGAAGCTTTGGCAGGTGCAAAAGAACCTACGATTGACCCCGGTTCACTTGGATTAGGCGTGTCTCAAACTAAGTAGGCAAAATCCCAGGCGCGATGTGACGGCTTGTGGTTTCGAGGTTTTGCCAGTTTTTCTGTCACTAATGCATTCGGCCCTTTCAATTGGGTCTCGAATCTGCCTCGTGCTTCGCGGGTGGCCACTGCAGGAACCGGTCTGTGGTTATCCCTGGCTTTCCCCTAGCAAGCCATTTTCGATCCCATCGCCCGAGCGTCCCGTTCGAGCGTCGCGCGATCTTGCGTCCCAGGCATTGTACGTGGCGTTCGTGGTGTTGGCGCTCACCAACATTGCCACGGGCATGTTTGTCCAAGCCTCCCTGGGAGCACACGAGAAGCAGCGGGAGAAGGTGAGGGTCGAGTGATTTCGCCGCTGCTCCTCAGCTCTTCTGGCTTGTGGTGATACAAAATTAAGCAGAGGTCAGCGGTCAGAGGTCTGCAAAGCCTCACATGTCCATGAGGTCATTTTTAGATAATGCGCACCTAGGATTAAGTAACCCCCCCTATTAATCAATCCCAGCTCGACCCCCCCAATACTAATGTTTTCTTTTAGAAGACTGTGTTGAACGCTCGTAACACTTTCGGCTCTTTAGCTTCACTTGGGCTGGGGCTTTGATGACATGCAATAAGTGTCATCAGGTCCCGGCTCGCGACGGCGACACCTGGTGCCTCGGGTGTTCGTCGTGGGAGTCGCTCGGGCTGGAGCTGACCTCTCACTGGTCGTGCTCCGGCTCGAGGCGACTCGCCGAGGACATCGTTTTGTCCGCCACTCGCCAGGTCCGATTCCTTCGATCCTTGACTGCTGCTATCCGGACCAACGCCCAGGCTGAATCTCAGCGGCTGGAACGGCCTTTGGCTGCTGGAAAGCGAGCCAGGGAAGAGACTCTGGAGCGGTCTTGCAGAGGAAGAAGGAGTCTAGGCCGGGTCCGCCCTTAGGCCTGGCAGCGAAGAGCAAGAGCGAGAAGAACGAGAAGAAGGAGCCTTCAGAGACTGAAGAAGTCTTTGAGGAAGAGTCAGAGGAAGAAGAGGAGGCAGAGGTCACTCACAGGCCGTTGGGAGGATCAGGAGATCGCAGACCCCCTGAGCCGAAGGGACCGCCGCCATCCAGGCCACCACCGGTTGCAGCTCCAAGCAAGGAGACTCGGAGGAAGCCAGAAGGTGAGAGGCGACGCCATCGTAGTGATCACGGTGGGCAGCATCAGAAGAACCGACATCGAGGTGGACGCAAGCATCAAAGGATTGGGCGGTTGGAGGATCGACCTGATACTCCAATCCATCGCAAGTTGAGTTCACAGTTTTTAGTACTTTGTCTTCGGAGGACGCTCGGTTCTCCCTGGACTTGGTTCGATGACGCACCGAGTGCACAGAGAAGGCGAGTTGTTCACCTTGACCGATTGGGTACAATGGGTGACACTGGCCCCTATGAGAGGAGATGTGCTGGTAGTAAACCTGGGCACGTCCTCATATCAGAGCAATCCATCTACACTTGGCTATTTCCTTGTCCTCGAAGTTCAGCTCATTCCTGCAAAAGTCTTGGGGCAACAGACCAAAGCCTGAACAAGGACCTGTCTTTGAGGTTCAACAGAAGGCAGGGGTGGCTGCATTTTTGCAGCTCCAACCCATGCATCGAAGAGGAGGCCGGCAACATACATGTCTCAGAGGTCGTTTGGCACTCCTTGGCAGGTGCAGAAGATCAGTTGAGCCCTGCTGCAGTCAGGTCGGCTCGCAAGTGGCTTTTAGAGTCAGAGGAGGTCGACTGGACAGAGGAGGCAGAGGTGCAGGTACAAGAGGCTGGCCTTGGGCCGGGCCTTTCAGAGTGTACAGCAGCCCCAAGGTTGCCGGCGTTGAGACGGCCTTCAAAGAGGCAAGGAGGAGATGAATCAGGGCTCCCTGGGGAGGCTGGTCCAACCGAGCCTACAGGGCCTGCAAGAAAAGCTCGCAAGGCTCGGGAAGGAGGCTCCTGGGGATCCTCAGCCTGCAAAACGAGCCAAAAGCCGAGACAAGGCCCCCAGTCAGGCCGGAGATCCAAAGGGCAAGGGAGTTGGGACGTCTTCAACTCCTCAACCTGCCCTTCCAGCCGAAAAGATCCAGAAGCTCAGAGAAGATCTACAGAGGTCGAAGGCCAAGATTGCAGCTGGTGGCCCTCCAGATCCACCGCCGGACCAAGGCTCGTCTGGAGACCAGGACGATTCAGAGTCGGACTCGAAAGATTATTCTGGGTCAGGCAGCTCAGAGTCTGTGGAGGAGACAGGCCTGGTTGCTGGGACTCTCCTGGATCCGGAGGCGATGAGGAATCAGAAGGCGACCACCCACAAGGCTATAAGCGCTGGTACCTCGAGCGGGTTTCACGAGCAGCTGATCAGGCGAGCGGCCGATATCCTTCCTCGAGGCTCCAATGCAGTCGACAGCAAGGCGAAGGCCGTGGACACCAAGAAGCAGCCGGACAGGAGTCAAGGGAGGAGGCCCTCCCGGGAGAAGGAGAAGGACATCGACAAGGGCAAGAAAGAGAAAAAGAAAAAGAAGAAGAAGCGCCAACATGGGAAGAAGAAAAAGAAGAAGAAAGACAAGAAGCGGAAGAAGAAGAGAAGAGTGACCCTTTCCGATGGGAGGATTGTAAGTTGCTCCAGCAGCTCCAGTGCAAGTTCTCGAACGAGAAAGCTTTGGAGGCACCATTGAAGCGCAAGTCACTCAAGGAGCCAGGATCGGTGCTGAGCATGCTGCTGGATCATGTGTCCGCGCAGCTTCAACAGAATGCAGAAGTGGACACGCCGGCGACTCGCCATGGCGATCTGACATCAGGAGTCAAAGTCATGACCTACCTCTCCCTGATCATCAAGCCGCAGTTCAGCCATCGTTCGAAGGAGCTCCGCGAGCTGCACATGCTGGCATCGACAAGGGACCTTCTTCGACAAGGCCAACTGGCAAAGCTAGGGGATGTCCTAGCGGAGAGATTCGTCGCGATTCACCAGAGCTTACTGGACGCTTCATGGGTGTCGGCACGGCACCTCGAGGTTCTTCCCATGCCAGAGGGAGCGGCCCTAGGAGACGGTGAGGAGCTAAAAGGAAAGCGGATATCTTACACCGGTGAGGAGTTGAGTTCATGTCACCCCCTTTCATTGGACCAGGTTGTTCCGGGTTTGCCACCGGCAGGGCATGGCGGTTCGGTCGATGTGTTAGGGGTGGTTTCCGCTGGTACTCGTAGGCTTTTGGAGGACCCTTCACGCTTGGTGATCGCAGACACTGGCCAGGTTCTACCTCCTCTACAAGCTAAGGTTCATTGTCCTTCACATGAGATCCTTCCACTTTGTAAAGAGCTTGTTAAGCGGAACATTTGCACATGGACCAAGATTGAGGACGTCTTTCATTACAGGGGACCACCGGTGCTTTCAGGACTTTTTGGGGTTGAGAAGCCCACTGCACTACCCGATGGTCGAAAGGTCCTTCGCTTGATCATGAACCTCATCCCTGCTAACGCTTGTATGGATTCGATTCACGGAGCCGTGAGGCACCTGCCTTCGATAACGGCGTGGCTCGGACTCTCATTGGGGGGAGGCGAAGGGCTGGCACTGTTTCAGTCGGATCTTACAGCGGCTTTCTATTTGTTTAGGCTCCCAAAACAGTGGGAAAGATTCCTCGCTTTCAATGTGAAGGTAAACGGGGCCGAAATCGACTTAGAGCCGTCGTCGACCTATGTTCTGTCTTGTGCAGTCCTCCCGATGGGATGGAGCTCATCTGTGTCGATCATGCAGGAAATTGCCGAGCATGTCGCTCTGCGTGGGGGGATGCCTTCAGAGACCCAGCTAGTTCGTGGTCGGGCACTACCCCCGTTCTTGACGAGCTGCATTGAACTTGGAGAAGCCAAGGACATGCCCTGGTGGCATGTCTACCTTGACAACTTTTGCGCCGGCCAGAAAGTCCTGGCAGAAGAGACAAGCAGTGCAGGACAGGCTCTTCATAGCCGGCTTGAAGATGCGTGGTCAAGGTCAGGTTTGGTTTCCTCCGCCAAGAAGAGGATTTCAGATGCAACCCAAGTCCAGGAACTTGGCGCCTGGGTCGACGGCACGAACCAGATGATCTCAGTTTCAGGGGAGCGCCTCTTAAAGTTGGTACAGACCACAATTTGGGCACTTGGAGGTCGTATTTTGAGGAAGAAGGTAGTACAGATTGTTGTTGGGCGGTGGGTTCATGTGTTGCAGTTTCCACGGCCAGGGATGATTGTTTTGGAACATGTCTGGGACTTCATCTCCGGGAAGGCATCAGGTCCTCGAGTCGTCGCAGGGGTTAGGAGGGAGCTTTGGTCCTTAATCCTACTCACCCCATTTCTGCACTGCAACCTACATGCCACAATTGACTCATGTGCCACCGCCTCAGATGCATCCACCTTAGGGGGCGCTGTTGGAATATCACACTCTTTGACACAAGCAGGTATGGACTTTGTATTGGCTTCAAAGACTCGGAGTTTTGAGGTGGACCAACACCCGATTCTTGTGATCTCACTGTTCAATGGTATTGGAGGTTGTTTTAGAGTTTATGATGTGCTCAATATTCAACCAAAAGGCATGATCGCAGTGGAGATCTATGGGCCTGCGAATCGAATAGTCCAGAAACGGTGGCCACACGTGCAGGTTGTCACGGATGTTAGGGATATAAATTATGACACGGTGCATCAATGGCTTTTACAATTCCCCATGATCGAGGAGATTCACCTTTGGGCTGGTTTCCCCTGTACTGACCTCTCACGAGTGCGTGCCTTTCGTCAGGGGCTTCAGGGCCCAGCTTCATCTTTGGTGTTCGAGATCCCTCGCATAGAGGGACTCCTCAGACAGGTCTTCGGAAGTCAGGTGCTTGTCAAGCGGTCATTGAGAATGTCTCCTCAATGGACAAAGAAGCGTGTGAAGAAGTATCCCAGATCTTTCACACCTGGCCTTATAAACTGGATTCGGTGGATTCAGCGCCCATGCGCCGACCACGCTTCACCTGGTGCAGCGAGCCTTTGGAGGGTGCCTTGTCAGGGCTCTCCTTTACACAACACCAGTATTGGAGGCGGGTGCATGCGCCTGCGCCTTACCCAGCTGAGGCACAATGGGTTGACCCAGCCTGGGAACGTGCCGGAGCTTGGGACGGGACTGTGCTGCCTACATGTATGAAGGCAATACCTAGATCTCAACCTCCTCCTAAGCCTGCGGGATACAATAGATGTTCCGAAGATACACTGGCTAGATGGCGCTCTGACAGTTATAGGCATCCGCCATATCAATATAAACTTGAGTTTTTGTTCTGGCAAGGAGATGCTTGGCGACTGGCATCTGCCGCAGAGCGTGAACGCCTTCTTGGATACGGGGAAGGACACACTTCACTTTGCCTCTCGGCCAGTCAACAAAAACAGATGGGGGCTCAGGCCTATGAAGATATGCGATGTTCCCTACTTGGTGACAGCTTCTCGGTTCTTTCGTTCGTGGTTCCTGGAGCCGCGCTATGTAGGCGGTTTCTGCCAACAGTGGACTACGCTTGGTTAGCAAACCGAATGGGACTCTCACCTGGCTTTAGGACTCCACTTCGTTGTCCGGCCCCCATTTCCCAAGGGTTGCAGTATGGGTTTCACACACAGCCTTGTCTTCAATGCTCCCTTCAAGTGACCTCAACCGCATCTTGTTGACCAAAGTCAACCACACCGGGTCTGACATTCGGGTTTCAACGGGAGATATCCTCAATCCACGCGCTTTTCCCCGTCAAGGGGCGGAAGCCGGATGGTGGAACTGGGAGCCGGTGTTTCGGTGTAGGTGGAGTCAGAGCGAACATATTAATTGTCTTGAACTTCGTGCAATCCTTTTGGCTGTCCGCTAGCATATTTCCAGACGATCGGCTTCAAGTGCACGAATCTTTCATTTGACTGACAGTTATGTTTGCATGAGTATCGTGGGTAAAGGCAGGTCAGGTTCACGGAAACTTGCTTTTGTTCTCAAACAGCTCAATGCATGTTTGATCTTTACTTGGTTCTGGGCCATGTAGAGTCCTCTCTCAGAACCCTACGGATGAAGCATCGCGACGCTAGCGTGCTGGGCCGCCGGTCTACGGCCGAGCGCGCTCGTGCACGATCTGGCATTGTGCTGCGTGATTCAATAATAAAACCTCGTACATTGGAGCAGTACTACCGTTTTGGAAAGAAGCTCTTACCTCTTTTTCGGGCAGCGAAATCGGAACAACAGCTGGATGATGCAATTTGCACATGGATTGAGCAGGCATGGTCGAAAGGGAAGCCACTCTACCATGTTTCCACCGCCTTGTGCGGAGTTCAGTTCTTTTGTCCTGGGATCCGGGGCAAGATCCCGGAATCCTGGAAGCTTTTTCGAGTGTGGAGAAGATTAGAGGTACCCTCTCGTGCACCACTTATGGCTCAAGAAATCGTGTTCGCCATTGCGGCCCTCGCTATTTTTCGGGGTGACCTGGTTTTTGGGGCACTGATTCTTGCTGCCTTTGAAGGCCTCTTGAGGACAGGTGAAATGCTCTCACTTTGTGGTTCCGATCTCCTCATCCGTAATGGGCAAGGCCTCATTAGGCTAGCAAACGCCAAGACTTCTGGTCGGAAGGGGGTTACAGAAGTTGTGACTTTGCACCACCCGTGGGTGCTTATGGTTCAGATCCTTTTGGAGCATTTGCAAGAGAAGAATTTGAAGTTTGCTAAGATTTGGCAGGGTTCGCCCTCTGTGTTTCGTCAGCGCTTCAAAGAATATTGTAAGTTCTTCAAACTTCAAAGGTGTGGCTTCAGGCCTTACAGCCTTAGACGCGGGGGTGCGACCCATCTCTTCCAGCAAAGTCTCTCCTACGATTTAGTTCTCGACAAGGGACGCTGGAGTTCTGTCCGAGCGGCAAAGCTCTACATCATGGACGGATTGTCAAAGCTTCCACATCTGAGTCTTCACCAGGAGAGTTTAGATCTGATTTCTGCATGGGCACCCTTTTAACCCTCCTTTTCACCCTCTTACGGGGTGAGTTCAGGGGGGCCGTGGAAAGTAACCACTTGAAAGTGTGTTTGGTTGATTCTGTTGGTTCCAGTGTTTGATTCCCTGCCGGGGGAAATTC